TGGTTTCATTTTAAAGTTTTTCTTCCTCTGATTCATGTGTTTGTTTAGGTAGCGCAAAAAGTGCACTCCGTTGCTACCAGTATATTTAGGGCGTGACATTAGTTTTACGTGAAAATGTTCAACGGCAGCTTGCCGATACCTACCGTAGCGGATTAGAACCAGCCACTGGGGCTTAGCGAGGGAAGCCGGTCAGATTTTCGAGGTTGTCTTGTCAACACCCCTGTATTCGCGAGCGAATGGCAGGAATATACAGAAAAAAATTCCCAGAACCGGTCTAGGTGTCGCAAAAAAAAAAAAATCTCGACGGTTTTTTCTCGTGTGGCTTGATAGCTGTATGAAAATCTGTCTTTACTACAGTCAGAGACCTTAAGATGAACGTGGGAAATGCATCTGGACAACGCAAGAACGTAAATAAAACACAACTTTGGAAAAAAATAGCTTTCTTAAAGTTGTATCTGTTCAGAGGAGTGATACGCACATCAGTGAAGTGCTGGAATCTGCCCAACATAGTTACTGGGTAATAGAATGTGGACTCAGTCTAGAAAACCGGGGAGAAAAACTTGAAAATGTGGTTCCTCGCCAAATTAAGTTCCTTCGATATTTGAAGTGTCTGTTAGTGTTTCACTCGATGTGTTTGACATGTTTCTCGTCTCGGTCTTGTAGTTTAATTGAACCTTATTGGGATGCAGCAATTTTTTTTTTTTTTTCATTGGTGTTGTGTCATCTACTTTAAAAACAGTTTTACTGCTTTTTATTCTGTAGGACTGCTGAGTAGACGTGACAGGAGCAGAATTAGGAAAGAATATTAGAAAATCTAAATTAAAAAATCCTTGTGTAGAGTTTTTTGTTTCGTGACTTGTTATGATTTGGTGATGTGCTTTTGAAAAAAGAAGTTATACGCTGAAAAGTGGTGCGGGAATGATAAAAGCTTGCTGTTTTTACAGTGGTCACATACACTTTGGGACATTGGCATCATAATCACCAGCTCTTGATGTTAAAAAACTAGTTTGGATGTGCACTACGTGCCAGAAGACTTGCACATTTGTTTTGTGAATACGTGTGAAAGGCCGTCTGTGTCTTAAAGTTTTCTACTTTGTAATTTCTTTTTCCTCTCCTAAAAGATCAAAGAGGATTAATATTTTATGAGTTTTTTTTCGACATTGACGGAGGGACTTTTTGAACGGGTCCCATTCTTTTAGGAAACTTTTTTGGAAATTGGCAGTGACAAATGTCCCCTTTTGTAGTCGGTTGGTGACAGATAGATAAATTGTGATGTGGACGCTGTTGGCATTTGCTACGTAGAAGTAGAGGTTAAAATCCGAAAAAGTTCAAAGAATTTAATGTTTTGGCCATTTGAATGCCGGTTACAGGTTACAGGTTTTTTTTCTGAGTCTCTTGTGGTTTTTCATGTTTAGAAGGTTGTGCATGGTGAGGCTGGAGAAAGTGTGTTTTTCTGAGTTTATATTTGCTTAATTGATGGCATGAATCATGAAGATGCTCACGGTATTTCAGGAATTCTTTTTGTTATCTGAAACATATTGGTTCGGCACTTTGACCGCTAAAAGCGGAAATCTTTTGTCATTGCACAGTACTAATTTTCTAGTAGGTTTTTATAACTCACGTTTCTTTGAAGAGAACCTTTATAGTTGAACCTTACCGGATATTGGTAGCAACTTGCTTCAATCGTTAGAAGCGAGCTTTTCACTGATTTTATTACCATAAAAAACATGGGATCACTGTGATGGTGGTGGGTTTTTATTGGATTTGCATCGCTGCCTAGCTGCTAAATTCCCTCTCATTGCGAAAGTCTGTTGTAATATAAAACAAACTCGCATGCAGTGTCTTTTCAACTCTATAAGAAATTTCTTCATATTTATTTGCAGTTTTGCTTCCTTTGTAAATAGGCAACTGTTTCAGGGAAACTTGTGAAGTTTTCCTCAATTAAAAAGTAAAATTATTGAATTCTGTTATGATTAAGGTGAAAAATTTTGGAAGATAGGCATCTGGAGCAGAAAATTGACAATTTTTTCGACTCTGAAATAGACCTAACTTGGCTAGGATTCCATTGTTTCAGTTTCTTCCATCAGTTTTTTAATCTGAACTGAAACTTTGTTGTTCAACAAAGTTTAAAAGAATATTGAGATAATAAGCGAAAGAAGTGTGCAAACTGGTTTGGAACGGCCCATACAGTTGTGCGTGTATGCTTTTTTTAGGTAGGAAAGGATTTTAAAGTTTGTCATTGTTGTATTTTTTCGGTTGAGTGACTGCTTCATAAAGTGAAAGCAGTAGGTTTTTATTATTAAGCGTTTAAATCAAGTTTTCACCTGAGGGAGGCAAAGTATTAGTTTTTCACAGAAATTCCTACAGTTTTTGGTTTCTTGTTTTGCGCAATCTATTTTCTGGTCTTTTTTTTATAGAATTTGAAATGCAACAGACAGGAGGCGATGGGAATGCAGCGACTGTAGGCAATAGTCTCAAATTTGTTGAGAGAAGAGCTAATCAACCGGAGTCCGCGATAGCAGCCACCAAGGCTGTTCATGAACCAAGCCATCGCACTGCGCGCCATAGCACTAATTCTCCCCATAATCGTTCAGGTTTATTTTCTGAAAAATAGGATAACTTTTTCAATTTCAATTTTTTTAATGCTTCATTTGCTACTTGGTAAAGTTTTGCTGATGTTTTTAGTTTCTTATCTTTCTTTAGTTTTAGGTGGCGACGAATTGCGTGGTTCAACAAGAACTGGATCCCCTCATACTGGAAGTAGAGTGCAGTCGAATACTTTGATTCGAGCGTCTTCCTCTTCAAGTTCAACGACATCTTGTCCTCAAAAAACAAAACATTCTTCTACAGTTAACAGTCTTCGCTCATTTCAAAAGAATTTTGATAATGCGTACCAGCCTAATCAAGCTCCTCAGAGTCATTCTTCTGTCGAAGACGCACAAGTACGTTTTTTTTTTTTTTTTTCAAGTGTTTAATTAAGTTTCAAATTGTAAACAGATGAATTTTTTAGTGTATTAGCGTAAAATGCAGTTTTGTGGTTTAGGCTAATGTTAGTAGCAATTCGTCTGGGGTAAATACGGGTACTGCTCAACAACCAATCAATGCTTGGATGAAAGGGCCGCCTTCTAGTATTCGGTCACCACCATCACAGTCTGCTCAGCAGAGTAATTGTTTTTTCCTTCCATTTCTGTTTTTTTTTTTTTTTTTAATGAAATTGTTTTTATTTGTTCTAGATGTTAATAATAAAGGAGCCACGACGTCTGAAACGGCAGCCCCAGCCCTTCCTACTGAAATTTCCCAGAAATCGAGAGATGAAACTCCTGTTCAAGCAGTTCCTGTTTCGAGTGTAACTAGTACGATATTTTTCAAAATTCCTGCTTTTAAAATTATTTTGTTATAAGTTTTTCGTACCAATATTATATTTTCGATATGTATCTAAATGGTTATAGCAGCTCACTCCTCATCTGCTTCATCAACATCGCTGCCACAGTCGACTGGAAACGCAGACAGTACACGACGTATGAGTGGCTCTGGGCCGTCTTCGCCTCCAGCAACTCAGACAGTTGTCACAAATCATGGAACTTGTGTCCAGCAAATGACTTCAGTCAGTTCTACGGCTGGAACTCCAGTTCTTTCCACAAATGGGTCTTCCTCTTCAATAGCTCCTATTGATCCTCAGCCGAGTATAAGTTCTTCTGCGTCTAGTACTGGAAATACATCTACTCCTCAACCTAGGTTAAACAGGGCTTTAATTCTTTTATATTGTAAATCATTTTTGTTGTAATACACAGGGTTCTGAGCAAATCGCAACATTATTTCTTTTAGTATAGGAAATGCTGCAACTTCTATAGAGGTGTGGTGTTATTTTAATGTTGTTTTTTTAGCGGAAAGAAGTTTGAGTTTAATCCAGACGCAACTCCATTTACTCCACGCTTTGCAACTTCACATACGTCCACTCCTAGATCTACTCCGGCCCCAGCCCCAGCTGCTGCTGTTCATGCTACACATCCTGTTCATCAGTTATCTGTTAATCCAGCGCAAAATATATCTGTTGCTCAGGTTTAAACTTTTTAATTATCTTTTTCTGCGACATTTTCCTTGTCTTTCATTGCGTTTTTTCTTTTTTTTTTCTGAATTTCAGAGTATACCATCCGGGGTAATTACGCAGCCAAATCCTCCATTTTCTTTCACTCCCAACACTGGAGTGTACAGTCCCTTACATATGTACTATTCAGCTCAACCAGTGCTTCCTGTTAGTGAGCTTCTGAGATTTGTATTTTCTATTTTCAGCCAGCATTTTTTTTCCCGTTACTGACCTTTTTAACCATGCTGTGATTTTTTTCCTTCAGATGGGTACACAAATTGCGCAGGTAAGCGCTAGTCCCGCAGCAGCAGGTGTTGCCGGAGGGCCTATGGTTGCTGGAGGTGCTAGTGTTCCTGGTGGTAGGACCGGTCAAGTAACTGCAAGCACTGCTGGACCCCGCCGAGCTCAGTTGTTTTCTGGTGGACCTTTGTATATATCAAATGCCGTTCCGTACGGCCCACCAGTGATTCCTCAGTATCCTGTAACAGATTAATATTTTATATTAATGTTTTTTCCTTCTGATACTCTATTTATTTCTCTCGGTAAAATGCTGGTGAGGTTTTCAAAAAAATTGATATTTGTTAATAACTTTGGCTTATGACGCAAATTACTGCTTTAATCATTAATGACGATTGTTTCAGGTGAACATTTTCACGAGTCCCTTTCAACAGCTGTCAGTGGGTACAGCATCTATCCCTCCTCCTACCGTGCCACCTCCGGCATCTAGCAGTGTTGCGGTGGGAGCTGCTTCGCAACCTCTGCAGATTCTACCAGTTCGTTTGACCACTGTTTGAATTCTTGCTTTCAGATATTTAGCTTTCCTAGATATTCACAGTAAAACTTTAATATTTATTTATTCTTTTAAGACTCAACAGCAACATTCGCAAGCTGCTTATGCCACAAGGCAATACTATCAGCCTAGCCAAGTCTGTTTTTATTCATATGCTACATTCTAGTGACAACTGCTCTATATTTCATTAATCTTGAATTATGTGTCTTGTGGAAATTCGTAGTTTTATTTTTCAGAATTGTTTGGTAGCTGCAGCACCAGCTCCACGCGGTTATGCGCCACAACATCAAACTATTGAATACAACGGTAGGCATTGACGCGGTAGCCTAGAGACTTTTTTAGAGTTTGCATAATTCAATGCATAATCTTTTTGATGATTTTTTAGTCAAATTGAAATTTTGTTCAGGTAACGGTCAGCAGCCGTCAAGCGCCGCATCAAGCAATGGCAACGGATCCAATGGCCATAACAGTCAACCAGCAACACCTGGTCCCCAACCGATTGCATCTCCTGCTCAGGTTGTTTTTGTGGCAATTATTTTATGCTAGGCTAAAAAGTTTGCCTTGAATTCTTGAAGACTGAGTTTTCTTCAGATTTTCAATGAGCACGTCGGCAAGTTGCCGTTATCACCTCTCTTGCATGTTGCACACGAAATGATCTGTCTTTGCGTTGCAAATTTTTATAGTAACGTAATGGAGTAACTATGGTAAATGTGGTGCATTCTTAAAGTCTTTTTAAGGGTTCAGTATGTATCTTACATCGAGATTATTTTTTGTCTCTTCTAGTATTAAGGTTTTTGCTCTTCTTCTTCCAGTTTTGTTTCTGTGTACTGTTTTAAGAAGGCAACACAGTTATTGGGATTTGCTCACACGCGCTTATCGCTGTTTGGATTTCAATCTTGTCCCATAATTTTTTGGCTTTTATTACCGAATTTTTGATATTTTTTGTGTTTGGGTCTGCTTTAAAGTCTTGTTATTTCTTGCTTCTTAATGGTATTAAGTCCTTTCCGAGTTTTTTGCGGGACGGTTGAGTAGATTTTTTGGTGGGGTTTTTTTTCTACCGATATTGGCTTCATTACCCGCGTAAAGGTTTAAACTATCGTTTCAGGATCTATTTCTGGTGTTGTAAAGTTTCTAAAAAGTAAATTGAATTTTTATTTTTCTAGAATGCGCAAGGCTTGCGCATTTATGCCGGAGAATTGCATGTACTAATGTAGGGTAGAGGTTGTATGTTTTCGTTTTGTTATTTGTGTAAATCACATAGGTGGCGTATCCGTCAGCAACAAATACTCCACAACCAGCACACTCGTTTCTGATGCAAATACAGTCTGGTCCATCGCATCATCCGCAGCATATGTACGTGCAGCCTCCCTCTGCGGTTTGTTTTTTGTTTTGTAATTTGTTAGCTTGTATATTAGGTGCAGCTGTTCTCGTAATTCATCACTGTTTAGGTAGCAGTGCGAGCATGTTATCATCTGTTCCGCTTTTTTAAAATTAGTAAACTTTCGTTTGCGTTGAGTTGTTGTTTATTCTCAGTTTCTTTATCTTAATTTACCTACTTTTGCTGAACTTTATACTTAATTTTGATGTTTTAATAAATAACAAGTTGGGGTACAATCGGACATGATTGCCGCAATGTCGGCTGTGACGATGAATTTAGCACCCTCTGACTTCTGACTGTCCGAAAGCTCATTGTATTATACTTGGTTTATAGTTTTATGAAGTTGCGAGGTTTCTTGTTGTTAGTGCTAGTTGTCGATTTGTAAGTCTTGGAAGAGCGGCCTTACTGGTGCGCGTAGTTTACAACAGCTTTGCTTCTATCTGCTCTGTCTTTAATGTATTTTTAGTAGCTTGGGGTCTTGATTCGCAGTTGTACGAATTACAGTCCTACCTGGCTTTGTTCGTTTCTCTGTAGTTGGCATGACGCATACTTTAAAGCTACGCCTTTTTGTTTGCATGTGCTCAGCATGATTGTTGTGTTCTTAATCCACTTATTTTTCTTATTATTTGTCCCTGTATTACAGATTTTAACAGGGTTCTTTTCAGCAGTTCCCTTTCGTTCCAAACCCAAGTTACATGATGTACAACCCTCAGCAGGTGATGCAGTTATCAGCCATACCGTCAGCGCCGATAAGTTTAAGCCAGCCAAGTCAGGTACGTAAGCCGCATGTGCGAATTCGTAGATTTTTTTACCGTGTCTCTCAGCCTATTGCTCGACTAAATATTTTGACTTCATTTGTTTGAAACTAATTTCTTAAAAAAAAAGTTCAGTTTCCTTCGCCTTATATTCATGTTGATATTTGCTATTTAAGCAAAGCTAACTAAGTAATGAACTAGACTTTATTAATTTTTATGCAAGGTTTCAAGTAATATTGTTGCAGCTGAATATATAAGAAGTTTTGGTTCAATGTTAAGGAAATAATTTTTTGGTTTCACGAATGAGGTATTAATAAGAAAAACGACCCATTTTGCGTTTACGACTTTCGGTCCTCGAATGTTTCTATGTTTGTTTCTTCCAGCCGGTCACGATTGATCATTATCCAAATATGAATGAAACTCATTCTACAAGTCAGCATAACGCAAATAGTCAAACTCATGGGTCTATGCCTTCTCAACAATATCTAAGTACTGACCAAGCATACGGGCAATATCTTCATGGTAGTTAATTCTCTGTAAGATTTGCATAACATTGCTTCCGTTAATTAATGCTAAATTTTATTACCACTTTTTAAGCTCTTGCCTAAACTTGTATTTTTTCAGGTGGAAGTTGAAATCACCAGTAGCGGGTTGCATGCTGTCTTTCGGGCCCTTATGTGTTGTTGATTATAGTTTTTAACGTGTCTCTTGCTGTACAAAACTGGAAAAAAGTAGATCGAATGAGTTTTTCATTCAGGGTTTTTTCATTCCTTTTACCAAGAAATTCAGAATTTTACGTAAATGGTTTTTCCTCACAAATTGATAGTAGGGTGGAAATCGTGACAAAATTTGATTAATTTTTAAGCCATTTCGAAATCTGTTTTTTGGAATTTTGCGTTAAAGGTTTGTTCTGATAGTTCTTTCTTCTGCTTGCAGAACAAGAGCATCCTTTGATCATAGCATTTTAATTTTTCTCCTGCTCAGAGCTTTTCTGACCTTTATGACTTTATTTACATTTCGATCTTGTTGCAGTGTGAAATTTTTGTCCAGTTTTCCATTTCTTTCAGTCCAGAAGCTCTGAGTGTCGTTGTTTAGTTTTTTCATAGGATTTTGAATATTGCAATTTGGTAATGCTCAATGAATATTCAGGGTGCTCATTTTGTATTAAATCCTCTGTTTTATTAACGAGTAGATGAAAATTTGGAAGGATGCTAGGTATGTGTTGTTGGAGATTTTATTTAAAACAGATATTTTACTTAATATACCCTTTTAATATTGGTTTTAAGAGAACTAGAACTAGTCATAATGAAGAAAGATTAAAGTTATGGGTTCGGGTTAAAATTGGTGTTGTTGAAGCCGAGAGGCAATTTTGAAACTAGGCGGAGCGTCCTGAGTCGCAGGTCGAAGTAAAGAATGGTGGCCTTACTCATAAATCATAACAGTGGTATTTTTTTGAAGATTTTTGTTGAATTTGCCTTCTCAACGTCCTTCGTCCTTATTATCCTCCGTCTAGTTGTTGTTGACTTTGCTAGAATGAGTGTTTTTAGATATTTATTTCGTTCTTCGGGGATGTTAGGCCATTCCTAGAAATCCATTTTCCGTATGTTCATTCTAGCTGCATTATAAGAACTAATTTATTGTTTGAAAAATTATGATGAGGCTATTGAAGAGAACTGCCTATTTTCGCTTTCATTTCTAAAAATGTTAGGATGAAATATTAGTCTTGCGCATTGGTCTTCCCCTTCTAGTATCTGCCGGGTAAAAAATGTTCTAATTGGCTGTGAATTTGTCTAATTGTTGTTTTCAAATTTTTCAAATAAAAAGGTTGGGCAGAGTTTTGTTCTCTAGTATTGCATTTTATTCAATAGGCACAGTCAATGTTCGTCAGATTTGCTCACGTCCGGAATGTTTCTGTTCATTTGCGACACCCTAAAGTCGCGTTGCAAGGTTTCGAGATAGAGTGGTTTTGGTTTGTGCGGTGCCTTGAAATTACTAGAACTGTTTTTGTAGTTAGATGAGGATAGAATTGCTATGGGTTTCTCAGTTGCTTTTACATAACGGGGAAACCGGTAGTTTGGTGATGGCGACGGGAAATAACACTGCACTACCAAAATAAGACTTTCGGAAAGTCTTATAATCTTAAAAATGATCGACTCTGCCATTAACTGTTGTGGCACAATTGCAGAATTTGGCGTAACTTAGGCCATGTTTTTGCTTACTGACATTTGTTTGGCTGATCAGGTGGGCATTCGCAAATTCAACAGGGTCAGTAAGACTTTGTTGTTTTTGCGGTGTTGTCACCGCATTGTGCAATGAAGTGATATCTGGTATAAAGGAGGCAAAGAGAATGTTGAATTAAAGGGCTTTCGGGTTCCAAAAGGGTACTGGCATCCAAAGATTTTTATTGAGCCTCGATGGTTTTGGAGCAAAAAAGTTTTTCATTTGTGATATCGTGCTAGAACAAGTTTGTTCGTCTTGTTTACTTGTTTTTCCAACGACCAACGAATTACTGCGGAAATTGGACTCGTTGCGAGTGATTTTGGATTTTTCAGATTTATAGAGCAATTTTCTTGTAGTGGTAAGTACCTACACTTCAATACAATAACTTTTTAAAGTTGGTTTCTTTCTTTCAAACGAGCTGTGACTAAAGAAGTCAGTAGTTAGTTGGGACTGGGGAGCGACCGTTGGGACCACTTCCCCCTCATAGTATCTTACGCCGTTCTGAGATGCAGACGCCCTTCGGGTAATCAAAGCGTTCTGCAATTGAAAGAATTTAAGACTGTGAAAAGTGTGTATGAGTTTTTTCGCTGCGGGGTCTCCAGCGCCTTATTTCTCTCTCAACCTACCATTTTGAAGACTGTATTGAACAAAGATTTCTAGCGCAGAATTTTTTTGAATGAAATGCTCTTTTGACTGCTGACGGTCGAACGAAACTTTTTTGATTTTTTGACAAAAGAAATTCTTTCATAAAAGGTATTTACGTAGAGGTTGCGGAATCAAGGGCGAAGAGGCAAACGGAAGAAACAGGATCTGCAGGAACTGGGGTTCTTGAGAGAAAAGCTTGTCGCGACCGTGCAAAAGAGCCATTTAGTACAGTTCGCAACACAAGATCACTGTTAGCTCCTTAACTAGAGGCGTCTGGTGGGGTGGCACCAAACACTAAAACGCAGTACAAAAGCATGTAAAATCAGTGTCCATTAAAGGTCAGTAAATTTACTCTGCGTTTCCATCAACGGGAAAAAGTCAAGGCTTTTGGGACTTAGACTGATAATCTCATGTATTTTGGTATAAAAACCTTTGTTTGACAACAAAATATCGTCGTTCTAGATAGAGGATGTAAAATGTTATGATTTTCTGGTTTCGAAGACTATTACTTGCTTCTGAGTAAAGATGAAACTGCGCACCAAGACTGAGTTAGAATTACATATTAGCTAAAAAAACCTCAAGCGGCAAGACTTCTAACTGCATAAATAATTTAAAACCAAAAAATAAAAAAGTAAAAAAGCTCATTGAATCAGTAGAACCAAGTACACAACACGAATGTACTAACCAAAGCTGGAGGAAGAACGCAGCTCCACTCAGTACTTGACGTTATCATGACTCGTCTACAGCAAGCAGGCAGAATGCGTTCGAGGTGGTGTAGAAGCTATTTGGATGATTGCCAACTGCCAAAATATTCGTGTCAAGAGATATATATATAGATAAAAGAGGCGAAGGTTCTACAAACATACAAAACATATTAGATGTTATGTGCTGTTAAATGGTCTCTTTAATTTCATCCAGCTTAGCGGTGTTTCCGGAAATTACCATTTCACATGTAATTATGAAGTTGTTAATGGGACACCTCACTTAACGTTTTCTTTTAGGTTTGTTGTGATAATGGGTAAAAAAAAGAAAGTCAAAGATTTCCCAAAAGTAAAACTGAAAGTTGGGAAGAAACTGAAGAAGACCACGCAAACTGATACCACCATTAAAGCTGCCAAGGTTATTGTTTTTGAATTATTTTTTACAAATATTTATAAAAATAAGCGGTGAGATCTGTGATTTGAAAGGTTTTTTTAATGTTCAGTTCTATTAAAAAAAGCTATGATGCCTGCTTTTCAAATTATTCTAAGCGAACTGTGTTTTACGGGTACATTTTCAATTGAGATGACATTTTTTTCTCAGGTTTCAATTTTAAAAGTGGTAGATTTTTCAGCTCTTATGAAAACTGTTTTATTTTGAATATTCTTTTTTGTAGGGTACAGCTTATTTTAGTGCAGGATTGCAATAGGTTGATGAATTATGAAGCAGAAAGTAAATGGTCATATTTTTGGCATAATACGTTCTTTGGATCTCAGGCGATTAGATAATTAACTTCTTAAAATTGATAGTTGCTTTACCGGTGCTCAGCGTCTTCCATAGTCATAAATGATGTAACACTTAAAATAAGCTTTCAGCGCTTTATTATGCTGCTTTTTGTTACTTTTCGTTTGCTAGGATATTAACCACTGTGGTTGGCCATGTCAAAACTTAGCTTCGTACAACAAAAAACTTTACGTAAGGCTAAATTTTTTTAATATTTCTCTATTTTTAGACTTTTTGAATTGTTGACTTTGCCTTGATTTACTAGCCTTGGGACATAAAGAGTCGTTTGAAAGAATTTGAAAGGTAGAGGAAATGAGTAACATTGGAGTCATTTGGCTTTTGTTGTGACTTTTGATTGGAAGTTTTAATGTGAATCACGGCTGGTCAAAACATTAAAAATTTTTTTTCGATTTGAGACGGTACTGATTTTTAGGATTCCAAAGAATTTTTTTT